GGTAAATGATTAGAACATGGTAAGTGCTCAGAAAAAAGCTATCTTTTTGGTCTGGGGTGCCAGTGTGAGTCAGGCAGACCCTCCCGGACCACACCCCTGGCAACCCTGACAACGAACCGCACAGCAGGTAGAAGGGGGGAAGTCTGCGGACAGAAGGATGCTACAGGCAGAATGAGTTCTGAGGGCAGGAAATGATCTTTACCCAGTTCTCAGATTCTGCCTGCAGGCCATACCCACTTCCCCCCTCAAAACCACAAAATCATAGAGATGCCCGGAAAGCAGTGGCCAATGAGAAGTAGTACTTTATTCGGCCTCTAACACCCCCCCCACCACCACCACCTAAAATCTGGTGAGCTGGGCTGGTCCACATGAGCAAATGTTTGTCCTCAGATGAGTTGGGTTTAAATAGGTTTGAACTGAAGCAAGTCATGAAGCCTATCCTGGAATGTTCTTTCCTCTCTGCCTGGGTCTTATCAAAGGCCTTCAGCGGGGTGTGGCCCTTGTCCACACACCGGGAGCCACCCCCAACCCTCTCACACGGGGCAGGAACGCCGAGTCTAAATGCAAGTAGGAAAATGTAGGAGGGGGCACCATGGCAGACCCCTCCTTCTCAGAAGCAGGGCCTGGCTCACAGACCCGTGTTCTGATTCTATGACCATGACTCCTGGCTAGGATCCCAGGGCAAGTTGATTAACCCCCCTCTGCCTCGGTTTCCTCATCTGTACTTCGGAGAGAACCATGCTGGTGCCCACCTTGATCACTGGGCATAAAGATGAAAAGGTCTTGTGTGTACAGGGCTTTCGGGAGCACCAGACACAGCGAGCGCTCAACCCACGGCAGCTGCAGCGATTCGCCCACCCGGAGAGGCAGCTGCCCCGAGCTACGGGCCAGCCTTTGGTACACACGCCTCATCTGACCCCTCCCAGTGCCCCAATGACTCACGGTCCATCACTTCTCTCATTTTACAGACCTGGGGTTCAGAATAATCACATGGCTGGAAAACAAAGTCGGGAGTCGAGGTCAAAGTCAGGCTGCCCCATGCCACAGCCCAGACTCTTATCCTCTAGGCAATCCTGTGCCCCGGTCTTTAATGTCATAAATTACTCAGGCCCCCCGTCCCCCAGAATTCTCGAACAACCCTGTGGAGTAGGCATTCCTATTACCTTGGGACAGGCATGGCTTTGCAGATGAGGAGATGGTCTCAGAGCGAGGCAGTGTAGTAAATAAGAAGCCTGGAAAAGAGAATGCAGCCTGCCCTCTCAGTGTCGCTCTAGGACACTGTCTAACAAACACACAAAGATTACTTGACTGTTCTACGAAATTTACCTGCGTGTGACTTTGATATTTACCATTTGATGAGAACCCACATACTGTGATGTCACATGCTAACTTGAAGAATTATCTGGTGGAAACAATACCCCCAAAGGCTTTGTTTTTATTTTGCCCTGTGGAGTATCAACCAGTTTTGTGTCTAACCTAAGTAACCTTATTTTTACCTACTTTTAGAGTAGTCCTGATGATCTGTGTAAACTGTTTGTCTTTCTTCTTGGAACCAGCTTTACTCTTTGCCTGGATCCCTAGCTAATTCCTGAGTTGAATAAGATCTTTGACAACTGTTCAAAGGCAGCCCTGGGCGAGTGGCTTATCCCCCTGACATCCGCTTTCTTGCCCCTTAAAAGAGGGGCTATTGGCGCCACCCACCCATCCGTCAGGGTTGTGATGAGCTTGAAACGTGTGAAGCGTGAAGAGCCCCGGGGGCTGCCTGCCACAGACAGTGGCCTGGGGTGACAGGGCTCTGTGTCCTGCAGGTGGGCTCCTTTGGGAACGGCACAGTGCTCAGCGGCAGCACGGAGGTGGAGCTGGTGGTGTTCCTGAGCTGTTTCCGCAGCTTCCAGGAGGAGGCCAAGCACCACCAAGCTGTCCTGAAACTGATCCGGAGAAAGCTGTGGACTTGTCAGGACCTGCTGTCCCTCGGGCTGGAAGTCTTGGAGGTGGCCCAGGGAGTCCCCGATGCTCTCGTCTTCACCATCCAGACCAGGCAGATCGAGGAGACCATCACTGTCACCATCGTGCCTGCCTACAGGGCCCTGGGTAAGGAGAGAGGACGCCCACCTGACCCACACATTTGCCCTTCCTGAGAGGCCTGCAACCGCCCCATTTCTCATTCATGGCCACATTCATCCCTTCAACCCGTGACTTGCTGGGGCCCGGGGGCCACAATGCACTGGGCTGACCCAGCTCTGGCTGTCACGTGGCTCAACTCAGGAAACAGATTTCTCAAAGAATCACGCAGATAAATATATGATTGCAAGAGGAGGCAAGACCCACCGAAGGGAAGGGGTTAGAAGAGTAGCCTCAGGCGCTTCTACAGCACTTAGCACAAGTGACCTTGCGACAAGGGCTTGAGAGCAGGCAGTTCCTGGGAACACTGGAAGGGAACAGGGGAGTGGGACAGAGAGGGAAGGCGTATTACAATCAACACAGAGCGACCGGAGCAAAGCATTCGCGACGCAGGCCCAGCGGCTCACCCCTCAGCAGATGCACCCTCAGAGCCCAGCTCTCCCACCAGAACTGGGCCTCCCCCAGGGTGACGGGAGGTCCAAACAAATCTGAGCGAGTTCCAAAGCGGGCATCGAGGGAAAACGTTGAGCACATCAAGGGAGGAGACAATAGTCCTTGAATAGCCGAAGAATTAGAAAACCCACTTTCGTTTCTCCGGAAGGACAGTCTGTGTTTATTTTTAGAGGTCTCAGGTTTCCCTGGAAAAATACTCCAATGAATTAGCAGGCTCTCCAGGCACAGGCCACTTGGCAAACAGGAGGTTTCCTAAAATCCCTGCTCTCCCCCTTTGTTTCCTCTCGCCCCAGGGCCTTCTGCTCCCAACTCTCAGCCACACCCCCAGGTCTATGTGAGCCTGATCAAGGCCTGCCGCTACCCTGGGAGTTTCTCTCCCTCCTTCTGCGAGCTGCAGAGAGACTTCGTGAAGCATCGGCCAACCAAGCTGAAGAGCCTCCTGAGGCTGGTCAAACACTGGTACCTGCAGGTGAGGGGCTGCCCGGATGGGGCAGAAGGGGGGATGGAGGAGCCGGGGGAAGAAAAGGCAGAGGCCAGATGTGCCATCTCAGGAAACTGCCTCAAGGAGAGACGGAGGTGGCTGGAGAGAGATGCCAGGCTTTTGAACTATGAAGTGAAACCATGAAGAAGCTAGAGGAAGGGGAGGAAGGGAGAGAAAGAAAAACTGAAAACAAGAGAAAACTAAGGAATTTACAGACCCTCAGGAAGCAAGTCCTTGAGATGCTCCAGTTACACATAGTACTGATGTCAGGTTCACCGGGGGATCTGCACGGGAATCTCCACCCATAAGGGCTGCCAACCAGGAAAGATTCATTTCATTCCACCCGCACCGATTCCCCCTGCAAAGGTGGAGTCCCTGAGTGTCATGACTATTACTGAGTGACTAGATTCACAGCAGCTGCTTTTTAGATTTCACATGCAATGTCTGCACGGGACCATGTACATTTCAAAATATCCAGATGACACCTGAAACTAATATAATATTGAATGTCAACTATAATTGAAAAAAAAATGTTAAGGGAAACTGTAAATGTCTTTAAGATATGTCAGGATGTGTATATTTATTCCCGGAGAGATTATTCAGAATGAAGTTTATAGTCTGTTTTACTGACTTGGTGGTTTTTAAATAAAAATTCATATAAGGTTTATGGACACAAAAAATCCAGATGAACACTCATCTAGACTTATGAAAGAAGGGCTCAGAAACACAAAAATTAGAAAAATAGAAAGACACTGTCTAACTTTTAAAAGTGGTATGAGAGTCAGATTTCAGAAGGAGTCAGTTAAAAAAGAATAAATGTACTGCCCTGGCCGGTGTGGCTCAGTGGGTTGGGCATCATCTTGTCCCCAATTTGATTCCCCATCAGGGCACATGTCCGAGTTGTGGGCTCCATCCCTGGTAGGGGGCATGCAAGAGGCAGCAGATCAATGTTTCTCTCTCACATCGATGTCTCTCTCTCTCCCCCGCTCCCTTCCTGTCTCTCTAAAAATCAATTATTTTTAAAAAAGAATAAATGTATTGATAGATAAAAATCAGAAAATTACCAAGGTCAGTAAGTTTACAGTTAGTCTGTTTATGGTGGGAAAACAGCAGTTTTCTTACATGATTATCCTATCAAACAAGGTTGTGAAATATCTTTAGACATTAGCACGGCCAAAGCCAAGAATAAAATTGTTTTTGCTGGTGAGACAGTCACTTAGAGGAAATGACCCAAGGTTTTGTGGATTTGGAGAACTAGACCTCAATAGAATGATCCATCTGCTTTGTTTGTTTGTTTGTTTATTTGTTTGTTTCAGAATGTAAAGTGTTTCCTTCCTGAACATGATATACACATTTATGTGTAATGTCCGAGGGACAATGTACCAGCTTTACTTGGATAGTCCTCTCTTTTGTACAAGCCTCTGCCCCTAACTCAGGGATTTGACTACCTATGGTTTTATGAAACAGCTTTTTGATTCAGTATTATTAATTTGATGTTTTCTTTTATTTGACAACTTTTATCTAGCTAAGGGTTACAAGGTGTGTTGATCGATACGTAAGGACATAAAGAGCCTGTACTGTATTTTAAACAAAACCAGAGTCCCATGATGCTAAAAAAAGGCTCATAGCTCCTGTTTGTCTGCAGGTTTTTTAAAGTTCCTGGTGTTATCATTGACTTTTATGGCTCAGTAGTATTTTAGTGCCCTTATCAGTTCATGTACTGGGGTCAATGAACAAAGAACTGTGTTGAGAAGCCGGAACTGGTGTATTGAAATTAGGAAAATGCAGATTATGACCTGCTGAATGAGGGGTCAGCAGGTAGTTCCCTCAGCATCTGAGCTCCTACTCTGGGGAAGTGAAACCCACAGGGTCATGTTGATTGAAGGTGTAGTTTCAATATACCTACACAAAGTCAGTAGTCACGAGATTTATTACTTACAGAGCCCAGAAGCAAGGGGACAGAACAAGCCAGAGGTGGGGTGAGGGGGACAGGCTGTCCTCTACCCCAGATCATGAGCTAACAGGGCAGCAAGCACTTATTATTTATAAGACAGCTGGGGCGGAGGTCACTAACTTTCCCCAGGATTAACTTATTTTATTTTAAAAGGTGCCCTGGGAAAAACAAAGCAGGAACTTACGGTGGGAATCCTAAACTTAAGTTCTATCTAAATGTCCAGCTCTAGGTGTGAGCAGGGTCATCATACCAAAAAATGCGGAGGTAGCAACTCAGATAAAGAAAGTTGATTTTCAAAAGTTATGTTTCTCATCACAGGAACATGCAATCTAGCTTCTCTAGATTTCATCTGTCCAATCTTAACTGTAAAGGATGTCACTGATCTCAGAGATGTCCAAGTTTGTTAATGCTTGTGGCCTACCCAAAAAATGTTAATTTTTCCTAGCTATAATGCTGGCTTTCATAAGCCTTAAGACAGTATCAGGTCAGTATCAGGAAGGACTTTATAAGCATCATTTCCACATGTGAAGAGTTGTCCTTGGTTTTTAAAAAGTTTACCAACAAACTGATGTTTATTTTTTATATTTTGAAGTATTCAGTGCAGTTATGGAAACAAGATGAAACTTTCCCCAGTATTGTTGTTTTTAAGATTTTTATATTGATTTTTAGAGAGGGAGGAAGGGAGAGGGAGAGAGAGAGAAACATTGATGTGAGAGCGAAACGTTGATCGGGAGATGGGAGACTCTTGTCACAAAGCCCATCTCTATATCTCAGTGCAGGCAGAGGTTTTTATAAGACGGGAGAAAGAAAGCAGAACAAAGAAATCAATCAGAGGGGGTTGAAAAGTTCTCTACATGCAGGCCACCACAGTCCATTCCAATAAGGATCTTGAAACTGGTCAAGTGATGGTCTAGTATACGTCATCCTGATCTTCGGCACCCAGGTCATTAGGTCAGCAAATCTCCTGGAACTGGGATGACTGAAGATCGGAGTCTATATATTCTGAAGTTAGTTCCTAGGATTCTTATACAAATACGCTGTTTATCTACAAGCTACATATTGGTCAGAGTCAGCATTTACAGAAACGATTCTTGTCTAGTAACAATTTCCCACTGTTACTAGACAAGAACTTGGATTTTCCAGTTTCTGGTCCTGTACCATCCTGACACAGAATCTTGGGGTCTCTTTCTCTCTTCCCACCTCTTTCAACAGTATGTGAAAGCCAGATGCCCCAGGGCCATGCTACCCCCTCTCTATGCTCTTGAGCTACTGACCATCTATGCCTGGGAAATGGGTACACAGGAGAATGAGAGTTTCAGGTTGGACGAAGGCCTCACCACTGTGATGGAACTACTCCAGGACTATGAGTCCCTTTGCATCTACTGGACCAAGTACTACACGTTCCAGAGCCCAATCATTGAGGATGTTGTCAAAAAACAGTTCCAAGGACAGAGGTACTGGGCCCCTGCTTGCCAATCACATGTGAGAGAGAGAAGAAAGAGAATTGAGAAAAATGTGATATTGAGTGTCTCTTTCTTTTTTTAAATTAATTGTAGAGAGAGAGGGAGGGAGAGGGATAGAGAGAGAAACATCAATAAGAGCGAAACATAGATCTGCTGCCTCCTGCATGCCCCCTCCTGGGGACTGAGCCTGCAACCCCTGGCATGTACTCTGACCAGGAATTGAACTGATGACCTCTTGGTTCATGGGTTGACGCTCAACCACTGAGCCACACTGGCCAGGTAGAGTGTCTCTTTTGGGGGGAACTCTCCCCAAGATGAATTCTTGGAAATCCAATCGTCTCTATCTGTTACTCTCCAGCGATGTTTCTGGGCCCTCATGAACCAAGAGTCTGAGGCTCCAGACACAGCAGATGCTCAGGGCCTTGAAGAGATGATGTCTGAGAAGGCTTCTTTCTGGCTTGCAGACCTCCAAACCACAAAGAGCCTGGGCACCCTCTCCCTGTGTTGCAGGCCCATCATCCTGGATCCGGCTGACCCCACCTACAACGTGGCGGAAGGGCATAGATGGGACATAGTTGCTCAGAGGGCTTGCCAGTGCCTGAAGCAGGACTGTTGCTATGACAAGGACGACCCAGTCCCCAGCTGGAATGTGAAGGTAATGGCTCCTCTCTGGGCTGCTGCCAGGGGCTTGAAACCCAGCATGAGATAAATGCATAGTGTTTACTTATTTATTTCTGCATCGATCAGACAGTTTGAGGCCTGGCTGCACCACCCACTAGCTCAGTGAACTTGCGGAAATTATTCAACTCTCTGAGCCTCAGAATTCTTACCTTCAAATCCATGTTCTCCTTTCCTTTCTTCTTTCCATACCTACCAGAGAATCAGTTCCATGCTCCAGTCATTCCTTGAATGAGCTGAGCCCAGGCAAGTCCATTCAGTCAGCTGTTTTGTGTCAGCACTGGGCTTGGGGCAGGTGGGGGATGGGGGAGAGGGCAACAGTCTCTGAAATAAACTTGCAGAAAACTGCTAGAGGACACCTGAATTTTAAGTTGTCCTAAAATGGATTGAAGAATTAGTTCCCTCATGTTCTCAAGCTAGGCCTTCTCAATCAGTAAACTTTTCCTTGCTCCAAACTCTGGGAGAAAACAACTGCTAGAAAGAATGACCAGAGAATATACTCAGAAAACAAACAAACAAAAATGCTAAATAATAGATAATATAATGTGATGTCAAACCTACAGTACAGGCAAAGGCCGTAATAATCTATTTTATTCACACTGTACTTTACAATTTGCAAAGTGCCTGTCCAGGGATAATTCTGTAAAGTAGAAATGTTGAGTATTATTTATTTATTTAAATATATTTTTATTGGTTTCAGAGAGAGGAAAGGAGAAGGAGAGAGAGAGACATCAATAATGAGAGAATCATTGATCAGCTGCCTCCTGCACACCCCCTACTGGGGATCAAGCCCACAACCCGGGCATGTGCCCTGACTGGGAATCGAACCTCGATCTCCTGGATCATAGGTCGATGCTTAACCGCTGAGTCACACCGGCAGGGCGGTGCAAAGATTTTCATCTTGATAAAATCAGAAGATTTGACCATGCTGGGCCTCTATTCCTTCTAGAAAGGATCAGTCAGAGGGCCAGCCCTCCTCATCACCTTCCAGGTGTGTTCTTCAGCCACCTGGGACTCTTGGGCCCTTGAGTGTGGCCTCTGATGGTGAAGTACAAATGTTGGAACAGGTTCAAATACCTGCTCTACTCCCTACTACCTCTGTGATGGTCAGTGAACCACTTCACCCTTCTTGACCACAATTTCCCCATCTGTAAAATGGGATAATAGGAGAACCAACCCCTTATAGGGCTGCTGTGAGAATAAAATGCATTAAGAAGAGTATAAAAGGTACCCAGCATGGGGCACGGAAGGTGGTTGGCACCTAAATATTTGCTGCTGCTATGAAGACAGGTGAAGGGAACTTTGGCGTGTCAGACAGGGGAATGTGGACTCAGCCCCTCTCTCTTCTCTCCCTTGCAGAGGGCACGAGACATCCAGGTGACTGTGGAGCAGTGGGGTTGCCCAGATTTGATCCTCACAGTGAACCCTTATGAGACCCTAAGGAAGGTTAAAGAGAAGATCCGGCAAAGACAGGGCTGCTCCGGCCTGCAGCGTCTGTCCTTCCAGATGCCCAGCGGCGAGCGGAAGCTCCTCAGCAGCCGCAGCTCCCTGGCCAATTTTGGGATCTTCTCCAACACTCGCATTTGTCTGCTGGAGACCACTCCCCCCGAGATCCAGATCTTTGTGAGGAATCCTGATGGTGGGAGCCACGCCTATGCCATTGACCCCAAAAGCTTAGTCCTGAGCCTGAAGCAGCAGATAGAAGACAAGCAGGGGCTGCTCAGAAAACAGCAAGAGCTGCAGTTCCAAGGCCAGATCCTGCAGGATTGGTCATTGTTTGAGAACTATGGTATCGAGGACAGCGACACCCTCATCCTCTCCAAGAAGAAAGACACGAATTTTCCATTTCTATCCAGCTAGTTTCCTCTGGGAAACCTCTCTGTGCGGTTCTGCCATCTAACCCAGGGCTCATCTTAATCACTCCTTCCAGTTCTGTGCTGGGGAGGTCCCATGTCTTCACCGGCTATGTCAAGAGTTATCCTAGCTGTCCCTCTCAGTGTAGGAATGAGGAGGGGTGTGAGAGGTTAGATATACAAATAACCAGACCACATATGACAATAGAATTCTGACCCACAACCTCTGCAGCCACCCCTTTAGGAAGCGAAACCACAGCATGTGCAGCAATGAACACAGAATCGTCAGGACTTGAGCGATATCTGCCAGTTTCCTTAATCTCTCCCCCCACACACAACTCCTCCCCACCTTGCCTTCCAACACAAGACCAACCAGCGAAAACCAAGTAAGCACTCTAAAAATCACATAGGATGATGTCCTGCCTCTAGATAGCCTGCTCCAGCCTCCCCATGCCACCAACCTCAATCAGGGCACACCTGGGGCCTTCTCTCTTTTTCACTATACAACTTTCCCATTCCCTGTCTTGGAGTCTCTGCTAAATGTAGGGGATGTTGCGTGACTCCCTTGCTATAGCAAGTTGGGAATAAATAACCGTGGTTTATTCTCTTTTGGATGGTCTTCATTTCTGTCCTAGTGGTGGTGATTGCTTAATCCTTTGAGCCTCAGAGTGGTCATCGACATTGTCTGCAACCTGTGGGGGGCTGGGGCCATACTCTGCGTCCTGGTGCTTTTTGCCCTACTCACTTTCAATAGAATATAAAATACACCTTATGATTGGTTCTCAAAGCCTCTGGGCAACTTACCTTAGTAATCTGCCTAATTCCCACCTCTTTTTGCCTTCAGGGGTAGAAAGTGTGCCTTCTTTCCATGGGGTAGACAGGTTAGACCTGCCCTCAGCTTTATTTTCTTCACATTGTAGGTAATGGGTATATTCTTGTTTTTGTTTGTTTGTTTTAATGCATAAGTCACCTTCCTCTCTTTCATAATAGAAAAGCCCAAGGCCAGAAAGTTTATTTTAATAAAAATTTTGGCACTCAGCTTTAAAGATAAAACATGAAGAAAAGCATTCCAAAGACAAAAGTGATTTTGTTCATCCTTCTATGAACAAAATCATAGTGGAGTGTTCTGTGTAACCATAGAGATTCTAATGCGTTGGTTTTGGGTGGGTCCTAGGAGTTAGTATATAAAAGTTTCCAATGTGCGATAAGAATGGAGAAGTCCTGAGCTAGAAAACTGCCAATGTTTCCCAAATCCAGCTATGCATCAGAATCACCTAGGATAGTGCCTCTCAAACTTTACTATGCATTTGAATCACTCGGACAACTTATTTAACTGTGGGTTGTGACTCAGTAGGTCTATGCTGAACCAAGACTCTTCATTTCTAACAAACTCCTGAGTGTTATGGATGCTACTGGCTCATAGATTATACTCTGAGTAGAAGCAAAGCCCTAGTATATTGGAGAAAATACAGATTCCTGAGTCCCACCTCTCAAGAGATTCTGATTCGGCTAGTTTTTGGTTAGACCCAACAATCTGCATTTTAACAGGCTGTCTAAGTGGTTTCTGATTCCCAGATGGATTTCAGAATTCCTGGAATAAATGAATAATATTGAAACTACACTGAATCAGACCCTTGGAAATTAATCCTAGTTCTGTCATTAACCCCTGGGTGACTTTAGGCAATTTATCCCCCCTGTATGTTTCATTTTCCTCACCCAGAAAAGAATGGAGAAGTTGATCTCTTTGGTACTTCTAAACTCTTTAACGTTTGAGGAAACTCCCAGGACAATTCAATGGCCCTTGGCGGCCTGCGTCTGAGAACTACAATCCCCACAATGCTCTGCCCGTCTCCGCTCTCACGTGGGGTCGTGGGGGGGAGCCATAGAGGAGGCGCTCCCACAATCCTTTGCGGTGGTTCAAGATGACGGCGCCCAGAGATTCCCTGAGTGATTTGGAGAGCAGCAGCAGCAGCAGCGATGCGGAGGAGCTGGCGCGGTGCCGCGAGGCCGCGATGCCGGCCTGGGGCTTGGAGCAGCGCCCGAGAAGGCCCGGGAAGGAAAGAGTCGGTAGGGGACTGTGTTCGAGCAGCCTGGCCGAGGGGCGTAGGATCTTCCCCTGGGGCCTGAGAGGATGGATGGTGAAGGAGGAGTCACCGGGACTCCACTTCTTTTCTCGAGAGAGAGAGATAGAGAGCTCCAGAGCTCCAGGGCCTGGATGGGGTTCGGAGTCAAAGTGCCGGTTGGTGCAGGGAAATTGAGGCACCTGAATGTCTCTTGACTCAGCTCCCTTTGGCCGCACGCTGGGCAGCCCGCCGCCTCTCCGAAGTGACGGCGACAGCCCGCTTTCTGGATTCTCGCATCCAGCCTTTCCCCGCCTGCAACACATTTTCATACCGCGGGGCTGCCAGGGAGCTGTGTCCAACACACATCCGACCGTGACTCTCTAGTTCCCCGGGAATAATTCCAAAACTCCTCATCATAGGGGTTCCTAATCATAATCCAGAGGTGCATGAATTTGGAATGGGAAAAATATTTCATCTTGACTTTAGTTAACCGCTCTTTGAAATTTAGCATCTCTTCTCCTCTTTCATGTGAGCAACAAGCCACCAGTAACTTTGACACCTGTTGTTTTTGTTCTATCAAAAAATCACAGGTTTTCATATCCCAATGACAGTCTGCAAGTATATAAAAATTTTATTCACCATAAAATGTTGGAAAAAATTACTTACACTCATGTCTACTTTAAAATGACAGTACTTTTTAGACCCTAGATCTAAAGAATCTCTAGATCTTATTTAATGCATTAAAAAAGAAGCACATATATTAGTATGCCAGATTTGGTTTTTTACTGTTATGGTAATTAAATTTCAGCATCATTGGTTTTCTTCGTAATCCTATGTGTTTTATTTTACTCCTTTAAAACATTATTCTGAGAAGGGGCCCATGCTTTACCAGGCTGCCAGAGCAGGCCATAGCAAAGCATGGTTAAAAAACCCCTGCTTTTGTTTAAAAGGACTTGCAAGCCCTTTGGTAATCCATTCCCTGCCTGCCTCTCCTTTCTTGCTGTCCCGCCACACTGCACTTCCCATAAGTAGCATACTATAGCCTTATCTCTGGGGACCATAACCACGCAGGCTTCTCTTCACGTTTTATACACACATCTGCTTTTCCATTTCCATCACTCACTAGTGAGAATCTGGGCAAGATACTTAAATCACGCTGTACCTAAACTTCCTCGTCTGTAAAATGGGGATAATGCTACTACTACCCCCCCTCCCCCCCCCATTAGGTTGATGACTCAGGCCAGGCATCTCCAGCATAGTAGTTAAGAGAGGGGCTCTGGAGCTAGTTGACTGTGTCTTCATCTCAGCTCTGTCCCTTATTAACTATTTGACTCTGGCTAAGTTAATCTATAGTTTCCTCTTCTGCCAAATGGAGATAGTGGTGACCCCTCTAATGGGGTTGTTGGGAAGATTCAATGAGTTATATATGTAAATCACTTAAAGTCATGCCTGGCACACAACTGATACTGTTATTGTCATTTCCTCTATAAATGCCTCAATTTTCATTATTTCCACAGATGCTGCAAATAATCAGTTGCCAACCACCCAGGCGAGCCTCAGGTACTGTGCACTTTGCATTCAAGTTTCATACATTCATTCAGCAAATATTGATCCCCTGCTATGTGTCAATGCTAGGTTAAACCCTTGGATATCAGGGTGAACGAGATGCATGTAGTCCCTGCCCTCATGGGGCAACTTCTGACCTGGCAGGAAGTGAGGTCCCTTTGTGTGTTGTAGGCATAAGGTGGATGAGCACGAACAAGATGGCAATGAGCTTCAGACCACCCCCGAATTCCGAGCCTACGTAGCCAAGAAGCTGGGAGCCCTGCTGGACAGGTAACCAAAAGCATACCTTCTCTTCTTCTGCCCTCGTTAGCTGGGAGCTTACAATGCTCAAGTAGGCACTGTCACGTGGCATATGTCACCTCATTGGATTCAGAACCACCTGGCCACATAGCTCCTGTCATTTCTCTAGGTGAGTAAACAGAGGCTCTTTGTGAGAAGCATTTGTTTGAAATCACAGGGAGGAAGGAACGGAGCTGGGACTCAAACCCAGGTGTGTTTGACTCGTAAGGCCTTGCTCTTAAGCAATGTATTGCCCTGCTCCCAAGGGATAAGAGGGGACTGAGAAGCAAGAGCTCATTCACAAAAGGGCAAGGGACAGATGGAATTACTTTTTGGGTGCTTTCTGTATGTCAGGCACTGTGCTAGTTCTCTTACATTTGAGAATACAATTTGTAAAGATCTAGGTCAGTATTTCTAAAATAGGCACAAGGAATGCTAGTCCAAAGTGTGACTAGAAAAAAAGGGTCTATAGCAAAGAAGTTGAGAAACACTGCAGTCTGCATACCCTTATGTGCCCTTGGAGATTGTGATTCATGATAGTATATTTAAGGCTCTGAGAAGTCTTGCAGTAAAGAGACCCGTGTAACTTTGTTCAGCCCAGGAATTTCTAGACTCATTTGGCTACAGTACTTTTGTTTCATGGAAGACTGATAGTGCAACATGGGACATGTTTTGGGATGCGCTGGTCTAGATCCATTCCTGAATGGCAGAGCAGGTTTTGAAAGGGTAGTGAGCCACACCAGCTGGGCAGTCTTGGCACTATTGATGTTTTGGACTGGATAATTCTTGTGGGGCTGTCCTGTGCATTATAGGGCGATTAACAGTATCCCTGGCCTCCACCCACTAGATCCTAACAGCATTCCCCCCAGCAGTTATGTCTACAGACATTGCCACATATAACCAAGGGACCATCATCGAATCATTGTGTTAAGATACTGGATCAGGCACCTGAGTCGCATCATCTCCTTTTCCTCTTCCCAGACTGATTTCCTGTCCAGGACTTTTGGGGATGCCTTTGACATATGTGGAAGGCAGTTAGGAGAAAGCACCCAGCACAGTGCTGTGTCTGCTGTGAGGACAGTGTTGAGAGCATTTTTCTGCGTAGTACACAGTGACTTCTGTCAGCATTCACCAGAGACATGCTTCCTGGTCTCAGCAGTACTCCCTGCTCTGTGCTTCTGGAGAGAGGGTTTATTTTTGTTAGAGGTCCTGTGAAACTTACTGCTTATCATGATGACAGTAATCATCACCGTAGCTACCATTTACTGAGTACCTGCTTGTGGCCAGGCTCTGTGCTGAGTGCTTCACCTGTGACAACCCTAAGAGGTAGGGACTTGCAGTGTAAAGATGGGTAACAGAGACTCAGAGAGGTGAAGTCACTTGCCAAAGGGTTACAGCTAGTAAGTGACAAAGCCAGGATTCAAAACCCAGGTCTCTGAAGTCTGAGTAAGGCCAATGGATTGTATCAATGTCAGTTTCCTGGTTTTGATATTGAACTGCAGTTATGCATAATGTTACCATAGGGAGAAACTGGGCAAAGAGTATATGGAATCTCTATTATTTCTGGGGACTGTGTATCAATCTACAGTTATCTCAAATTTTAAAAGGAATTTAAATTAAAAAAAAAAATCAGGGTCACCCTGCTCTATAAGCTGACTTCTGAACCATTTCTGTCAACTGGTCATGTTTCCCTTTTCATGCATGCTGCCAGGAAGCTCAGAACAAAATGTGTGCCCTAGTCTAGCAAGTGTATAGGACTTCCTCACCACACTTTGGCTCTTTCTGTCTCTCCTGCATTTATTTTCTCTTTGCCCTATTTGAAATTGTATTCATTTTGTTTTACTGTATCTTAAAAATCCACACTGTTTATTAGGATAAGGTGGGGTTTAGGCAAATGAAATCCTGCAGTTTGAGCTGACAGGGGCTGTTCAGCAGGTTATGGCTGTAAGCATTAGCATTCTTATCAGGCTAGTGTGCTGTCTGCTTTTGCATTTAAGATGACATGCCCTACCCCCTCCACTTTATAAAAAAATTGTTTTAAATTTTTCAAAAAATTTTTGCTGGTACCCCAAATCTTATCCTAAATCAACCATCTCCTCTTCCCTTAGCTCCATTACCATCTCCGAAGTTGTGAAGGAGCCAAAAAAGGCTGAGATACAGAAAGTCATGCCGGAGGATGATGGTGAGTAGTTACACTGTTAATAGTCAGCTGTCATTTAGTGAGCACCTACTGTATGCCTGGAGCTGGGAAATACAGTTTTGGCATATTATCCTCTTTCATCCGTGCAGCCCGCTCTGAGGCAGGTATCATGATGCTGCTCCCACTTACAGGGGAACTGTAAGGGAAGCCGAGGCTCAGGAATGAAGGCACTTGCCTAAGGTGACCACATCTGTCTCGCCCTGAGCAGGAGCTCCTACCACCACACTGTACAGCCTCTCCCATCTGAATCTGTCTGTCCTGTGTCAGATTCATTTGCCACTTTGGAAGCTGCCTTAGGCAGGAGGCTCAACTGATGCCCTCCAAAAGCCGCTGAGGGCTTGCTGGCCTGATTTGGCAGCTGGTGTCCCCTCAGCACCCTTTCTTCTGGCTCCAGCTGTCATCAGCATGCCCCTCATCACATGAGGCATCATTTTGAGGTTAGACAGGAGCGATTTCTGGGTCTTCGCCTCTGGACTAGGAGCTGCTTGAGGGCAGAGGCCGGGAAGCCATGGCACCTGGCAGGAGGGGTCAGCACCAGGCAGCTCTGACTCTACCCCTTTGGATTTTAGGCTTTCGGCTTTTCTTCACCTCCGTCCCTGAAGGCCCTGAGAAGAAAGCTGCTCTGCAGCCCTGCCGAAAGCGATTGCCTTCCAGCTCCAGGTGAGATTGCACACCCTCCTCAAATTCCCTCGTTTTTGCCCCCTTTTCTGTGTTGGCCAGTGTCCCAGAATAGCCAAGCAGATCCAGTGAGGTCCAGGCCAAGAAGGAGCCCTGTCAGGTAACTTGAGAAATAGTGCCCTCAGTGGGAGGAGGAAGAGGTTCAGCTGGGGGTTGGCTTTGGACATTTGCTGCTTTTTGAGCACCCATGTTGTGCCAGTCGCCTCATTCCTTGGACATACTTGTGAGATCTGGGCTCAAGGACACTGAGGTCAGAGAGGTTACTTAATGAGATCACATAGCTAGGAAGCAGAGAAGCCAGTATTGGTGCCCAGGTCTGCCCCACTCCTGAGCCTGAGCTCTCTACCTGCCTGCCCCTGTGGCCTCTTTCTGGTGGCAGCTTTGGGGCTGAGTCCCACCTCCAGCTGACTCAGACTGTCCTCTCCTTGCAGCAGTGAGGACAGTGATGAGGAGTGGCAGCGGTGCCGGGAGGCAGCTGTGTCAGCCTCTGACATTCTCCAGGGGTCCACCATCCATGGCCCTGTCAAGGTGGAAACAGAGGCCAAGAAGAAGAAACAGAAGTTGAAAAAGAAAGCCAAGGAGGAGGCCAGCACTGGCTTGACCACAGCTGCCACCACCACAAGCAAGGCCGCGGTCGGGAAGCAGGAAACGGAGCCAGCCAAGCTCAACGGAGACCACCTGTCACTCGGGACCAAAATGAAGAAAAGGAAAAAAAAGGCCCAGAAGGCCAGTGGGGCGTCCCCATTCCCACCATCAAAGAGGGCGGCAGCTGCGCCTGCAAACTGACCCCGGGCACAGGCACGGGGCCCAGCGAGGCCCAGTGATGAGGCGCCCTCGGGGACGAGGCATTTTCAGCTCTGCCTCCCTCTCCAAGATCGAGGACTTGGCTGGCAAGTCCACACTCTGCCCGTGATTGGGGCTTGCCCGGGAGTCAGGGCAAAGCCATGGTTGTAGAGTGCAGAGCCTAAGCAAGGCCTGTGCTCCTGTGCTCCCATTGGGGTTGGGGCAGCCCTGTGGTACCAGAACATTCCGTGGTCTCGAGAAGAAGGAGCCCTCCAGTTACTTAAGATTGATGGCCAAGTGGTGAAGCTTCCATCTCCCCAGTGCTGCCTGAGGAGAGTGAGTGAAGACCTTTTCCTGCCCCCAGCTCCTCAGCCTGGTGTGGGAGATAATCTTAAGAAAATTAGAGAGGGGGTCCCTGAGGTGCCAAAGCCCAGAGTTTGTACTTCTCCCTCTGTGCCACATAGACTGGATGTAACATTGTCTGAAAAAGAGGGAGAGCGATCTTTTCCCCTTCGTTTTCCAGAACTTTCTCCACATTGGTGAACATACCACACACCATCATGTGCCAACCAGGTTATTGAAAATAAATGATCAGACCCAACACGTAACAAAGTGATTTAGGTGGTGCCTCCAGTCACTGCTGAGTCTTGATGAGACATTTTAAATAAGCATCACACACAGGGTCCTCCTGCCTACACCCCAAGATGTCTTCCTGCGCCCCAGCTTCCAGATTTAAGGGAGTGTCACAGCATTTGACTGGGTTTCAGGCACCAGGGCTATTCTGCAAGAAGGAGTGGAAGCTCAAGGTTAAGGTAAAACCCTAGCTTTGGCACCTTGCCTCGAAGATTTGGCAGAGCAAGAAAGGTGGCGTATGAGCATCTACATGTGCTGCACCCATCTCCACAGACCCCTGGCCCACCTCCGCCTCCCTCAGCCCCATCTGGGTGACCTGTGGACAAGCACGAATTATCTGATACGTTCCTCGTTTACTTTACTAAAAGTTAAATAATGTACAGGCTCGCCCTTCGCTGGCTGCAGGCTGCAGGGGGTGCAGCCCGTCCCTGATTCCGAGATGGAGGTCTTCTACAAGGGCCAGGTTGTCTGCAGCAGCCTCCGGGAGATGAGGTCACAGGACCCTGGTTACACAGCCGCCTTGTCCCTCGGGTGGTACATGGGCTGAGGCTCCTTGGGGGGCTGCATCCGCCTGGACCTCTCCTCATGCCTCAGCCCCCCAGGCCCTCAGGCTTCCAGGCATGTCTTGTCCACACAGGTGGCTCCACTCTTCTGGTCTCGCCTCTCTCTTCTCCCCCTGGGCACCTCCATCTGCCAGCTGCTCAGGCCTTGCTGCCTTTTGAGCTCAGCAGCTTCTCCAAACCAGGGAAGCGTGTGCAGGGCTCCAGAGGCCAGAGGAGCTGCTGCCCCAGAACTTAGCACCAGGCACAGAATCACAAGGTTCCCACGGGAGCAAGGGCCACTTCCTAGCCTTGAGGGGCTTTTCAGTAGAGGCAAGATACCAGGCTGGCATAGAAGGCATAGTGCTCGGGGGAACGAATGTTCCAGAAGACGGTCCAAAAAGAGGGATGGCTCAGAACGAAGGACGCTGGAGAGCCCTCATGCCTTCACCATTAGCTCAAGCTCCCTGAGGGACAGAGTAGCCCCTCGGCATTCTTATGTGAGTGGGGGATGGGTGGGCAGAAATGAGCATGTGGGTTAATCGCAGAAAGGGGACTGGGATGGAATAGCCTGGACAGGGCATCAGAGCTCAGTAAGTCAGCTATACAGGCTTGTGTCCTGAGAAGTGTGGCTGCCAGAGTTCCCTTTGGGGTGCTGGGGCTCTCCACAGGCCCAGATGAGCATATCAGAGTCCAAAGCCTGTCTCCTTCTGTTCCAAGTGACAAGATGTACCTGGAGCAGCAGGGACAGTCCCTCTTGTGTCCTGCCAGGAACAACCTCTGCTTCCCAGCTTTCCACAGTCCCCCCTTGTGCACTGAAGCAGCCCTCCTTGGGTTGGGGCACCTCAGAGCCCCCCTCTAACGCTGGGTGGAACCAAGACCCAGTTTTCCAGGGAAGGGCAGCAGCTCCGTGGTAGCAGAAGTTTTGCAGGCTCAGATGTTCTGGTCACCCCCCGAGCAGGCTGTGCAGGCTTCCAGTGCCTGCCCCTGGGAGGCAGTTGCCGTGGTTACTGGGAAGAAGAGGCCATCTGCGTGGAGATGAAGGTCTCGATGACACTGTGGTTGGATGGCAGCAGGTGGCTGTGGCCATTGGTGGATTCGGAGCTCTGATACAATACCAGGCTGCTGGAGGACACTACAGAGGCAAATGAAGCTGCTGGCTGGCCACCAAGTCCATCTTGACCCCTCCTACTCATCCCTGGAGGCACTCAGGACAGGGAGATGGGACCTTGTCTTATTAGCCCCCTTAACACCTACAGTTAGTTGACTTTAGTAAAAGAAATGCCCTTCTGTAGTCTGGGTGGGCCTCATCTAATCAGTTGAAGGTCTTAAGAGCAAAAGCTGAGATTTCCCAGAGAAGAAGGAATTCTGCCTCAAGACTACAGCATCCACTCCTGCCTGCATTGCCAGCCTATTGAGATGCCCTGCAGCCTTCAGATTTGCCAGCCTCACCATCATATGTATGTATTCCTATTGGTTCTGTTTCAGGAGAAGCCTGACTGATTCTGATGTTAAGAGAATGAGCTTTGAGGTTGGACCTGGGTTCAAGTCCTGACCCTGCCGCCTAGTAGCTGTCAGAGGCAAGGCCAAGTCCCTCACATCCTTGAGTGTCTGCTTTTCACCTGTAAAATGGGGGTGATGGCATGCCCCTTACATGTAAAGCATGGAGCCTGGACCATGAATCCCTCAGTAACTGTCACTGCAGCCACCAGGGCTGGATGGAGGAACCTGAGGCTCAGAGAAGGGGAACAACTTGCCCAAAGTCGCGCACTTAGCATGTGGCTGCTCCAGGCCTCAAAGCCCAGGAGCCTGACTCTAAAGCACCTGCTCTTCACCATGACCTGTGGTTGCAGACGAATCATAGGGGGTTGGAAATGAATGGGTGGAGTAGGACATGGTGGTGTGAGCCCACACTCTTGCTGTGTGGAAACATGAGTCCTCCCAATTTTCCAAGAGAAGCCAGACATCTGGATTTTTGTGTGAAAGCTCCTGATTTTTAAACGTTGGCAATGATTCAAGGAATGCTAAACCCTGAACAAAACCCACACACCCATGAGCCACTTCTGGCCTGCAACCAGCCCAGTTTACTCTTCTTCCCAGGACTTGTCTTTTTCCTCAACCCAGTCAATGAGAGAAGTTTCTATAAGATTTTTCTGTGGTTTCACACCCCTCTTGGCTCACTTCAGGGGAGCACAGGGTGCCCTCTAAGATCTGCCTCGCGCCCCGCCCCCCATTTGCCTCATCTGCACACCCAGCAGAGAGGGAGCGGGAGAAGGCTGCTCACCTGTGGGGCTGGCGCTGAGCCTGTGGGAAGGCTGCAGGTGCTGGATGCCAGCAGGGTCCTGGCTGGGGATGTGGATGGTGGTGGCCTGAGATGCCGGCGTGTGAAGCCCAGACTCGCTGGAGGCCTCGGCATCTGAGGTGAAGACCTGGGGAACAGAGCTGCCCTCTGAGCCCCCAGGGTGTTCTCTGAGGAGGGGGCTGTGGGAGGGGCCGGGGCAGTCCTGGGCCTTACCTGCTTGGTGGGTGTGAGGCTGGCCAGGGCACTCAGGTTGGTGGTGTCAGTGATGAGCATGGTCTGCAGGCCCGTGTGGGTGTATTGGGCCACCTCAGGCTTGTGGCTGTAAAGGGCTGTCCAGGAGGGAGTGGATAGAGAAGAGTACAGACGTGGCACTCTGGACTGGGCTGGACCCCCCCCGGAGGCCCTCAGGGCTGGGTGCTCTAGGGGAAGTGGGGTGTGAGACCTGGGAAACGGCCAGATGAACACCCAGATGTGTATCCACTCAGGCACGTGTGCACAGCGCCACACTTATTCACAGAAACGTGGCCACAGGTGCTCATCAGAGCCCCCTCCATCACAAGCACTCACACAGGGCGGCCACAGGATCTGCTAGGTCACCCTCCCCATGTGCTCACCGTGGGGGCTCTGCAGCTGGGCCATGGTGGCCATGAAGGGGTTCTGGGCCATGTGGCTCTGCACAGGGGACATGAGTGGCTGCTGGTAGGAAGGGTGCAGCGGCTGGGAGAACTGGACAGGCTGCAGCGTAGTCAGGCTGCTGCCCATGCTGTTGATGACTGGCACACTCTGCGCCTGCGTGGAGGCCAAACCTGGAGCGGGAGGGGCGGGAGTCAGCCAGACTACCACCCGCACTACATCCCCAGGCCCCTGGGGCACCACCCCTCCCTTGAGGGCTCGGAGGGGGGGTGACAAACAGGAAATACCTTTGCACTAGGACCTGTCACTAACTCATGTGGCCCTACAAGTCACTCCCCTTCTCTGATCCTTTGGCTCATTATATGGGCAGGAGATGGGTCTAACTAGGTTCCCTGGAGCCCTGAGTTCCACAGCAGTGCAAAGGCCCTGGGGCTTTAACTCTGTTGTCCTCTCCCAGCAGCTCCCTATCTGTCTTATATACTGTTGAACTTCTGCATAATAGTTCCTGTAAATCAAGTCCTCTGGGATTTAAAGAGAAACGTAAAACCTAGAAAACGTTGTACCCCTTCTGCTGCTCTGTTTTTCCCAGGGACATTTTATCTTCTGGGTACTGTATAATTTATGTATTATGTTTATTGTCTGCTCCCCACTTGAGTCGCTGAGAGTTTGGTCTCTTTGGTTTACTTGTGTATCACTAAAGTAGCAGAGTAGGCAGTCAGTAAATACATGAGTGAATGAATGAATGAGTCCCGGAGGCTCTTGCAGCTCTTGGATTCTGTGGAAGCCACATGAGCCTCCCCCACCCAGATGCCCCTCATCCCACCACCTTACCAATGACCAGGGTGGAGGCGCCTGTGTTGGTGAACGTAGAGCCCAGGGAGGCAGGCTCACCAGGCCCGATGGCCATGACCCCTGGAAGCGAGGCCATGATGAGGTTCTGGGGCTGCTGGTTGAGGCCTGGGGAGGTCTGCTCCAAGCTGTGCAGTGCTGTCAGGGTGCTGACAGGAGGCAGAGGCCCCCCAGTTGCTGAGACCTTGGAGGGGAAAGCCAAGCTGAGTGAAGGCAAGGGCCCCCACTGCCTCCCTGGGGACTGCTGCTCCCAATCAAGGGAGATGAGGTTAGAAGGATCTTCCCTACCTGGGGGGACACTCACCAGCTTGGCTTCAGTGCTCAGCAGGCTGTGACTGGGCTCCAGGCCTGGGGGGGACACTTGGTGCAGGGGTGTAGATACTGTCACCAAGGAACTGCCACTGCTTGAGGGCACTTCTGCCCCCTCACTGGTTGCAGCCTGTCCATAGCGCACACCTGGAGTGGGAGCAGTGTCGAGCCTCAGCACCCCACTTTCCTGCCCTTCAGGGCTCTCATCACTCCAAACTGCATCGGTTTGCTTAGGCCACTTGCCCCATCTTTCTCTATGCAGCCGGCAAACTTTGCTTGTGTGTCCACCTCCTGCCAGGCCCTGTGCTGGTTCCTTCCAACTCCTGAACACAAGGACTACATTTTATCAGCTCCGTGGCCCCCACTGCCTAGTGCTATACCTGACATGCAGTAGGTGCTCAATAAAACACAATTGAACTGAATTGAAGCTAATAAACTGCAGCAAACTGAGTTGATTAGAAAGAACTGGGATTAGTTGAATGAAACGATCTAGTTGAAATGAACCTGAAATAAATCGAGCTTGAGTTGAGTTGAATTGAATTGAATCATCAAATTGGATCAAATTGAACTGAGCCATATGAAATTAACTGAATTTTCTTAAATTATATTTAGTTAAACTAAGTTGATTGGGAATTGGATTGGATTAAACTGCACCAAACCTAAATGAACAGATTGGGTTATAATGAATTGAACAGAATAGAACTGAATGGAATTGAACTGAAATGAATTGAATTGATTTAATCTGAAATGAATGAATTGAACCCAACTCAGAATGAATGGAGTGGGGTGAATGGATTTCAGTGGAGTGGATGACGGACGTGTTGTGGTCAGTGGAGTGGATAAACTAGGGTAAACGGAATGGAGTGGAACCAAAGTGCTAAGAGGTTTAGGTGACTTTTGCCACTGGGGCGGTACTCCCCAACTCTCCTACCTTCCCCCTTTTCCCTCCACCCACTGTCCCAATCCCTCTGCCCACGTAGCACTTACCATGGACCTTACTGGGGGAGAGGGCGGATGGGGGCAGGCCAGGGGAGCTGTGGGCGGGCAGTGCAGGGCCCGGGCCTGGCCCCGATGGCGGCCCGCTGTAAGTGTCCATGGCCAGCTTGTGCCGAAAGGCTTCTTCCTTGCGCCGATTGGCAAACCAGTTGTAGACGCGCACCTCTGTGACAAGGTTGGAGCCTAGCCCCTGTGCCTGCGATGGTGACACCCCCCTCTGGATGCACTCAGCCCTGTGAGTGAGGATGAATGAGATGGGCACCCACTCAAGGGTTGCTTGGGTTGGGGGGTCAGAAATAGAGCTAGGTTTCTGGGGAGCCTCCCTCAGGACCCAGAGCCACCCTCCCCTTCCTCAGCCTTGCCCTGCCCAGACCAAACCAGCCCTGCTGACTGACAGCCCTTCTACCTATTGCACTCCTCCACCAGTGCCTCTCGCTCCTCCTTGCTGGGGTTCTTCTGCCTCTCGTAGGCCTGGAACAGGATCTGCTGGGATGCCGGGCCCCATTTGAAACGGTTCCTCCGCCCCTTCTTGGTTGGCAGTTCATCTCCCGTGGGCTCCTCAATCAGCCCTCCCTGCCCGGCATGGGTGAACTCTGTAGGTGCAGAGAGCTATGAGCAGGGCCCCAGCCACGTCCACCTTCCCACATCAGTTTATGACCACACTCCTGATTCTCTCTCATTCCCAGGGTGCTGAGCCAGAGGAGCTTACAGCTAAAACTTAGAAATCACCTAATCCAATGATGAGAAATACACAGCACACGTTCCCCCACTTTCTTAACCCATGTCCAAGGCAGACATCACTAGTCAACCCCTGCACACTTTTCTACTGAGCCAGGATACAATCTCACAAGGCTCCAGGTAAGCATCAGCATTTGTTCACATTTGACACATTCCATCCCATTTTACAGATACGGTTCAGGGAGGCTAAATATTTTTCTAGGATCTCTCAGCAGAGCAGAAAATTGAATCCTAACTCCTGAGTAGATTCAGAGCTATGTTCAGCATTGCAGACTTGGAAATCAAGCTTAAAGTGCAGTGCTCGCCAGGAGAGAGACCCACCAGCCCTTGCCAGCTGGTTTTACTTTAATGGAAATTAGTCTATCAGATTACCCCTGAGCAGGCCACCAAGGGAATGGGACAGGCAAGCGCCAGGGAAGTTTTATGAAACAGAAGGAAGGGAGATTCTGAGGGATATATAGATATGGCTAGTACAGGCATAAAATAACTCCAGAAGGGCATTTGCAAGACCGGGAACGCCAGTGGCTGCTATAGTAGGATACCTAATTTTTATTATAAAATCTTCCTTTTCTTTTTTTTATTTAACTAAGCATGTATTGCCTTTTAAAACCCTGGATAATTAATGAAAAGAAATATTAGAAATTATTTTATACATAGGCTCAAAAAGTATTGACGTGCACTTGGGATTTGGTGGGGTTTGAGGCTTGAGTGAGGAAGTCCACCCTTCCCTGAGTGAGAGTGTGCCCAGATCGTCCCGGGTTTGCAGTGGAGGATTCCCTGAGCATGTACCTCACCTCTGAGCCTTTGCACATGCTGTTCCTTCTGCCCAAAACACCCTTCCCTTCTCTGTGTCTCCATGGGTTAAAATTTGACTCACACTTTTAGGCTTAATCTAAAGGCCATACTTGTAGTGGGAACCTCCCTAATGCCCCTGCATCCCCAAGGAAGCCCCAAGGGAGAGTAGATTACTCTCTCCCCCGCCGCCAGCTCAACACTGCAAAATATACTTTATGTAGCACTCCACACGGGGCCAGGCACACCGCAAGGGGGCCAGAAACTATAGCTATTGCTGTTCTTGTTATCACTGTAGTACATGTCTCACTAGATCATAATGGCCTTTTCTCCTTCCCCCCACACGGCTCTTGGAAGGCAGGGGCCCAGTTTATTCATCTTTGGATGCCCAGGACCAACCGACTTCCCTCTCCCGGAGTCCCTTGCACAGAATAGGTAATAAATGCTGATTGAGTCCCGCCGACTCCCTCTGAGCCTGCCTGTCTGAGGGGCGGGGGTGAAGCTTCCAGCCCCCACCCTCGAGCTGCAGAGCCCCGGGCCTGCCAGGAAGACAGGCCTGCAGTCGGTCGTTACTTACGCTGGGCCACCTCTCGCTGCTTGCGGACGTACCAGGTGTACAGCGCAGCTCGCTTCTGCGTTTTCATGGGGGTGCCCTTGTTGAGGTGCTGGGACAGGTGTGACTGGTTGAGGCCGGTGGTGTCAACCACCTCTCGCTGCGGGATGTTGTGCTGCTGCAGGTAGGACTTGACCATCTTTGCCACACGCCACGGGTCCTCCCTGGGAGGAGGGTAAGGGCAGGGTCAGCTCAGAGGTGGGGGGGGTCCTGGTGCTAGGATCCCGGTCCACCTGGCTGTAGGAATTGTGGGTGAGAGCAGGTGTGGAGCCCGGGCCTGCACCCTGACTCAGGGACAGGGAGGTAAGGGCACACATTCCAGGACACAGGGACAGGACATGCAGACCAGACATGGAAGAAGCGTGGTCCCAGGTCCCAGCCAGCCTCACACAGAAACAAAACAGATAAAAATTTAGAAATGGTCACACAGACACACGGACATAAACATATGAACAGACTCCCTCGGGAAGCAGCACAAGTCCGATGGGGAGGGCCCTCGCCTGTGTGCCCCCTTTAAAGCTCCCTCTTCCACCTGGAAATGTTATCTGTGGCTGTGTCTTACCCACTGAGAGAGACTAAACACCTTGAGGGCAGGAACTGTCTGGTTTTCAGCTCCCAAAATAGGCCTGACATATATTATGCTTTTGGAAAAGCGATGGAAAAAATATCCTCTGCTGAGGATTTAAAAAACAAAGTAGCTCACTACACCAGCGCCGAAACAGAACTGGGATTTGAACCCAGGCCTGCCAGACTCCGGAGCCCGCCTGCTCACACCCTTGACTCAGCAGTTTGTTCTAGAACCCGAGACTCCTGATATATGCAGGTGTGGCAAATGGCATGTGCAGGAGGCGATGCGTCACCGTGTGGCTTGGCCACAGTGGAAGATTGAAAACCACCTAAGTGTCCAGCAGACAGGACGCTGATTAACTAAATTGCAGAGCCTCGGGCCGAGCACCTGGGAAAAGCCACCGAGGAAGCTCTGTAAATGCCCGGACGGAACAGAGTCTGCCCGGCAGGTTCGCGGCTGCTGCTTGTGTCAGATGTAAAGTGGGATAAAAGATCTCTACATATTTGTTTGTGTTTGCGTGACATAGCGGGAGGACATAGAAGAACACAGAAGGAACTGGCGACGCTGGTGGAGTCCTGGGGACAGGGACAGGGGCAGTTTTCTGTTCGTCTTCTCATACTTCTAAAATTATGTAACATGTTATATAACATTCAACATGCATATATAACATTTAAAACTGAATTCTAAAAATCTAAAAGCAAACAAACCCCCTGTGCTCTGAAGGCCCCCACGCTGCCTTCTCCCCACCCCCTCTCTCTGTCCTCAGAGGACCGGCCACGCCTGTCCCCTTGACAATGCCCTAAGGACACTCAGGGGCACAGAGCCTCTCCTCAGCTTTGGCCCTCTGACCGCCTCCGTTTTTATCAGCAGCTCCCACACAGGCGGGGAGGAAAGGAAGGTAGGGACAGATAAATTTCAATTGGTCAGCAGCCAGTACAGCGCATTCCCATCTGTGTGAAAATAATAGCCGTGAGAATGAGCGTTTGTTGAGTATTTACTGTGAGCTAAGGCGCTGTACCAAGAGCCGGTCATTTAGATCTTACGGTTACCTTAGGAAGTCAGTGCTACTCTTATGGCCATTTCACAGGTGAGAAAACTGAGGCTCAGACAGGGGAGGCTCACTTGTCAAAGGTGACTTAGCAGGGACTCAAGAATATTTCCCTTTGCCCAGACCCCCCAGACCTCTCCCCAAGCTCCTGTCTCCCTGCTTCCAGGGGCTCCTAGGAGCCTGTCTTCCCCAGCTCCCCCACAGCCGGGCGCCAGTCAGAGCTAGGAGGGAAGGGCAGTACAAAGTCCAGCCCTGTGCTCCATGGCAAACATGTTTATCTGATTCCGGAGCTGGGCCGCCGGATGGCTTCCCTCCCCCCCAGGGCAGTCATCACCCTCCTGAGCAATCCTCCCTCCCACCTTCCCCCTCTCCTTCCCTCTTCTCCGGAGAGAATGAGCTCAGTCTTGCTCCCAACAGGGCCTCTCCTGGCTCACGCTAAAGATTTACTGTCACTGTCCATCTGACTCCATGTGTCTGTCTCCCTGTGTTCGTGTCTGTCTGTCTCTTCCTCCCTCCCTCCCTCCCTCCCTGCCTCCCTCCCTCTCTC